AATAAGCAAACAGTGCTAACAGGAAACTGAACAAAACCAAGCCAAAAGAAGGTAGCGAAAGTTTTGGAAAACGGAAGGAAGAGCAGTTCTCAAACAGCTGAGGCGGCTGGGGGTAGCAAGTTGACTTTTCTGAGGAAAACAAAACAAAACAAAACAAAACAAAACAAAAACTTGAGTTGGTGAGGACAAAGTTAAGAAAACAAATGATACTCCACTTACTTGATCTTTCCTTCTCTGGGACTTTTTCTCACCTCAGTCTCCCCTCCCAACCCCTCCCCAACCCCCCCACCCCCTCCTTCACCTGGCCTCTGGTCTCTGTCTCTCTGACCTTTGTCCCTGCCACCCCATTTTCTGTGGGTCTGTCTCTCTTCCTTTCTCTGCCCCTCTTTCTTTCTCTCTATCTTTATTTTATTTTACTTATTTTTTTATTGTTGATAGTATTACAGATGTCCCATCTTTCCCCCCCCCCAGTGACCCCCCCCTCCTGCTTTTCCCAACTACTGCCTCAGTCCTCCTTCATACCCCCCCCCCCTACCCCGTGGACTTGGCGTGAATTCTCTGTGTCCCCTTCTCAGGGAGCAAGTCTGGGTCGCGTGCTGACCAAACGTGGCTCTTAAATCCTATTCTAATTCTAAGTTGTCCCTTGGCAATAAACCCTGTGCCCTGGCTCTCGGGGCTCCAGGTCCAGGCGAGGGGAGGTGCTCGCTCCGAACGCCAGCCTAGGTGCCCAGCCCCCTTCTCCCCCTCCTCCCCCCCTCTCCTCTCCCCCACCTCGCGGAGGCCGAGACCCCGCCCCTGCCCAGCGCGGGTTTCCGGCCCTCTGGTTATTTTAAGGCGCACGCGGTCTGGGTCTCCAGACTCCTGGTGGCTTCCCTGCAGCTTCTGCCTCCTCGCCTCCCTCCACCCTGCCAGCATGGGCTCCCCGCCCCGCTCCCTGCTCGCCCCCCTCGTGCTGTTCCTCTGCGGCTTCGGCACCGCGAGCTGCGACACACCTGCCAACTGCACCTACCCCGACCTGCTGGGCACCTGGGTCTTCCAGGTGGGCCGCGCGGGTTCCCAGCGCGACGTCAACTGCTCGGTGATGGGTAAGCGGCCGCCAGCCCGGGACTGTCTCCCTTCCCGCGCCAGCCGCGGACTCCTTTTCTGTCCCGTTTCTCCGCAGCGGCCACACGGAGGAGCACACCTGCACGAGGGGGGGCGTCCTGGCCGCACTTGGGTGCCCTCTCCTGCGCCGGGGCCAAGTCCAAGTTGAGCTGCTGCGAACTTCTAACTTCACCTTTTCTTGGTTATTCCCTGGGCTTTTATACTTTCTAAAAGTCTTTATTTTTTCCCCTATTAATTTTTGTTTTCTGTTTGGTTTGTTTGGAAGAGAGTTCAGACCTTAAACTTTTATGATCTCCTGTCCAAACGGTAGAGGTTTGTTGTTTTTTTTTTGGTGGTGGTTTCGTGCTGGTGAGAACTAAGTTCAAACACTCAAGAATATTAGAAAAGTTTTCTTCTTTTTTTAGATTGTGGGAAAGAGCCCTTCAGTTATTTTGATTTGGATGTGTGTTGATGCTAGAGTCTGAGAAAACTTCTGGTACCCTTCTGCACTGTTTTATGTATTGCAGGGAAGCACTATAAAAGTTTGTTGTTCTATTCTTTTAATAACTCTTTAGCAATGAATTATATTTGGAAATGCTTAGAACCAAGCACAATGCCTAGCTCATAGAAGGCACTCAATAACTATCTACTGCTTGAACACACTGGGATAGTCCATGTACCCTCAGATACCATGGTTACAACAAGGACAGAATTTAGTGAAGGGAGAAAAATAGCACACACACCACCTGGGTCAGAAGAAGCACTTTACCAGCCTGCAGCTTGGCCAGAATGAGGGAGGCTCTCAGCTGTAACTTTCCTTGTCAGCACAACAGAGATTGCCAGATAATTTGTTACTAAAACAGACCAGTTCAACTACCCAACATCAGAGGACTGTGGTGTTGCATAACCCTGGGCATTTTAACCATCTTTTCTTCTAAAAATTGAAGTTGAAGTCGGAGGTCTGAAGCAGAAGGGAGATCATTGCACTGTTTGGGCACATGCCATCTCCTGTTTCAGAGCATTTTAACCATGGGCAACCCAAAGTGTGCACACCTCTGCGTGGACACAGCAGAACCCTGTTCAGGCAGCCTCTGTCTATAAACTGTTCCTCTGACTTAATAATGAAAGGAATCCACATGTTCGAGCCCCCATCTTCTGAAGTTTAAAAGTTTAGTTCTTGTCAGCACAAATTAGCTTTACAGGATAGAAACATCCGGTTTGCTGAATACATTGGAAGGAATCACGTTCTGAAGTTCTGAACTGTAGAGCCATTATGGAGAAAGATGCCCTATTCTTTGAAGAAATCATTTTCTATCTTCTTTTGTTCTGATAGTACGTCTTTTTATATTTCCACTTTTTGACTATCATTTTATCTTCTCTTCATTTCCACTTGTCATTTTCAATATCCCCCATTTTTCCTTTACTTCAGTGGAAAAATGTCCTCAGTCCTTGGATTCTCTGGGAAGGTAGGTGCTGTACTTTGTGGGGTCTCTGTGCCTGCTGGCATATTGCTGTCTTTCCAGCCCTCACTCCTCAGACTTGACTGAAACCCCTCCAGGACTATACAGAGGGAGGCAATGAGATGGAAAGTCTGGTATCTTCACAAGTCAGATTGGCTCAAATTGGGTGGCATGAAAAGAAAGCAGCTTAAAAATTACGGAAATGACAGGAGATGTTTCCTCTCATTGAATTACAAGTAATTTTCCATTGTTGTGCATTTTCTTTTCTTTAGGACCACCAGAGAAAAAAGTAGTGGTGCACCTAAAGAAGATGGATACAGCGTATGATGACCTGGGCAATTCTGGCCATTTCACCATCATTTACAATCAAGGCTTTGAGATTGTGTTGAATGACTACAAGTGGTTTGCCTTTTTTAAGGTTAGTTTTGGTGGAAAATGCATTCATGTTTTTTTAATATCTGAAGTCTCTTCTAATGAGTAGACCCTCAGAATTTTAATTTAAGGTTAAGAAGATAACCGGAATTGACACTTTTTCCCCAGAGAAATTAGGTGATGTAATTTTGCCAATTTATTTAAAATTATGATTTCAGTAAGTTAAAAAACCTGATCTATATTTGAATATGTACAATCCATCTATATTTAAATTTTAATGTTACCTTAATGACTTGGTTTTGTATTGAATTTGCAGGAAAAATATGGATATTATAAAGAAATTTTGGAGTAATTATGCTTTTTCTTATCATTGTTTGTTGCTTCTGAGAAATTGACCAAAGTAACTCATTGAAGTAATATAATGTATTAAATATATTAATGTGAATAACTTATCTGACTAAATTAAGACAAAGAGATCGAGAGCATTGAGTTACTCCTTGAGCTGATTAAAGTAAGAAGTTGTCCAGCCAGGCCAGCTTGTTTTCTTCTCTGACTAGGGAAGAATTATTATCTGTTCTTTTTTCTTTTTCCTTTCTTTTTAATCCTCACCCAAGGATATATTTATTGATTTTTTTTTTTTTTTTTTTTTTTTTTTAAAGATAGAGGAAGGGAAGGAGAAAAACATCAATTTGAGAAAGAAACATCGATTGGTTGCCTCCTGTACACACCCTGACCTGGAATCAAAACCTACAACCTAGATATGTGCCCTGACTGGGAATTGAACCTGCAACCTTTTGGTGTACAGGACGAGGCTCCAACCAACTGAGCCATCTGGCCGGGGCTATTGTCTGTTCTTATATGCTAACACATTGCTTCCAATTGCAGGCATACTCGAGGTAAAATAGTTTAGCACAGATTGTAGTCTATCCCAGATAGCCTGATGAAGTTGGAATTTTTCCTACTGGCAGAATATGAAATGATTTAAGTAAATTGAAACCACAAGCCTGAGGCTAGCTGTTTCTCATTTTAAATTGAGTATAAAGACAGATTTTCTCATGGGATCGGGTTTTCAGCCTTTGGAACATCTGGTAAGAGTTGGCCAATTCTGGAAATACGTGGGAAAGTGGGAGAAAAACTCTGTTAATACTAATAAAAGACAAAGTACCGGCAAAAGACTGACTTCTAAATTTATTGTGATTTATCTCATGGATTGTGATTTAATTCCTAGGATATGGTACCAAATCTGAGCCAACCCAATTTATTTGGATAGTAGTTCCCAATATATTTTTTATGATGAGGACCCCTCTTTAATAGGAAAAAAGAAAATGGACAGGAAAAAATTGTATCCCCGCACCTGGATTGGCCATTCTGCTACTCAGCTGGCCAGAACCGTCTATCCATGGTGGCTGCTGAGGGTCAGATGTCCATTTTATTTGTTGAAGCCCATGCTTGATCAGTTATTAAATATTTTTAATATTATTCCTGGATAATCATAACAGTATCTACATGAATTTTCTAAACTGTAGTGCATATGTGATAAATATAATTCAATCTGATTATAATTCTTGTTTGCGTATTCCTGAGCCTAGGGCTTTGCAGACTTCTCACAGGTATTCTGTCACAGCCCTTCAGTATTTTTGCCTTCAGATTGAGAATTCCTATGGAATTGATGCACAAGGAAAGAGATAGTCAAGATGGCTGTTACTATGTATCATCCTTCCTTCCCTCTCCTTCACCTTCCTTCCTTCTTTCTCCCCTCTGCCTTCCCCCACTCCCTCCTTTTTATTCCTTGATACATGATAGACACTTATTTCATATTTATTAGAAAAATAAAAATGAACTGAAGTGGAATTCAGTTGAGAAATAGGTTGAATAAATTATATAGGTGCAAGATGAGAAGTAGTATATAAATAGATGAGTAAATAGTTTTACCCATTTGGCTTAGAAAAGTTTTCATTCTTTACTTATGTAGAATTGGAGAAACTGGTAGGAAAAATTCGAAAATCAGCATTTAATTACTTGACTCCTAATCAGAAATAGACAAAGGCAATTTCCTCTATTAATATTTCTCAATCAGTTTGCTCTCAGCTTAAATAGTAGGAGGCTGGTGGGGTTGGAGGGAAAGGCTGGTGACTGAAGGAGTCAGAACACATCTTTGTATTTCACTTTAAATCACCATGTGAGCAAATTTGGTAAATGTCCATACCCATAGGACATTAGTCACAGATCAAGAGAAAACCACTGTTTAATATTAAATAAGGTTATAAGTGTTATCAGCCATAAGCAGGAAGAGTGACTACAGGGTGGGGCAAAGGTAGGTTTACCGTTGTATGCAAAAGTTTATTCTTGTATTATTATTTATTAATTATTGTATTGTTTCCCATACAAACAACTATAACCCTAATTTTGTCTGACCATAGGACAGAACCCTATCTAATTATCTGCTTCTGGATGGTATTCTCTTACTAGGAATAAAAATAGGAATAGGAAGACTGTTCTGCTACTGACTTCAGTGTGTATATTTTAAGTGTGCATTTGACCAGAACCCTTATCAGGGCCATGTTTTCTTTTCCCGCTGAAAAATCAACCAGGACTTGTGATGAAGATGGTAATATCAATAAGCAGACTAGAATATATACATGATACTTGGTTTTAAAACTTCTCTTAACATAATCAAGCAGTTCCAGATGAACAGATTTTTTTTCAGAGTAATAAAATAATGTCCTTTTTGCAAATCTAACTGAAAGATACAGGGAGCAGAGTTTAAAAATTTTAAGAAAACTGATAGAGTGGAGTTGATTTAGGATAATAGGAAAAGCAATCACGTTTGGTGACAGTTAACAAAACACTTGCTGGATTTCACCATGCATCAGGGTATTTCCTACTAAGGTGCTGGGGAAACCATGCTGGGTTGGTAACTCAAGAACAGCACAAACTTATTTAATGAGAAAAACACATGAGACTTTTCCCTACAGATGTAGAGAGTATCTTTTTTATTTATTTATTTTTGTTAATCCTTACCTGAGGATATTTTTCTGTTGATTTTTAGAGAGAATGGATGGGAGGGAGGGAAAAAAAGAGATCAGTGTGAGAGAGAGACATTGATTGGTTGCCTCCCACAGGACCCTGACCAGGGATCAAACCTGCAACCCAGGTACATGCCCTTGACCAGAGTAGAATCCGAGACCCTTCAATCAGCTGGCCAACACTCTTAACCACTGAACCAAAAGCAGCCAGGGCTAGAGAGTATCTTTTAAATAAGGATGAACTTATTTTATAAAATAAAACAATAATTAAAACTTAACCAGTGTCTTGTTCAGTGTCTTAAGTAAACTATGGCAGAGTCTGCTCAACCTATGGCCATGACAGAAGTATCTGGCAAATTTTTGCCTTGTATACCTGCTATCATTATTCTCTACATTGTTATTCTACAAACCAGTTGGATTTCCTTATCTCTCCATTGACTCATACAAGACCCTACTACTTGTTTCCTTTTACCCTCTTCAGATAATGCTTTCATCAGATTGTTTCTTATTATTCCTGCTAAAGTGCACTGAGCACATGATACACAGGGTATTCTGTTAGGCTCCTGCTCCACCTTCTGCTTCCCAGGAGCCTCCTGCAGCTCAGCAGAGCAGACACCTTCTACATCCTTTTCCCTGAGTTCCCACTTTGAAGCAATTGCAATACCGCATCTGTTCTTGGGAACTTCTTTTATTAAGTTCTTCTCAGGCAGCACTTGGAAGATGAACATTTTTCATGACTTGAGATTCCTATGACTTTTTCCCCTTGGTTTTCTTGCTTGATAATCTCTTTTGTTGTTTTTGTTTGTTTGCATGTGACTTCAAGCTAGATAAAAACTTGGCAGGAAGTGAATCTTCATATTGAAAATTTGTGCATAGTTTGAGTTGGGCAGAAAGCGCAAGGTAAATCATTTTTCCTTCTCAGCTTCCTGTAGGCATTCAGTTACATGTGTAACTTCATGGGAGTTACACATTCAGATGCATTCAGGGCCCACCCAGGCAGGTACCTGAACATTTGAAACAATTTTATGTAAAACAATAAGGAGTAATCAGACCTATGGCAAAATGGAAACTTTCGTAGAGATCTTCATTTCAATTTTCTTTTCAGTGTGCTGCCCCAAATAAAACACAGTACTGTCTACAGACCAGTTTCTGAGACTATCATATTTTAATAGCATTTACCATTTGGTTATAGTTGGCACACTCCAATAAATTTGCACCCCTCAAAAATACCTGCAAATTAAAAGCAGCCAACTTCTTATAAAAATACAGTGTAACAAAACAAAACAATATAAAAGACATTTAATTATGGTTGACTTTATGTGATGGATGGATAAGTGATCCTTTTTTTCTTCTTTATGCTTTTGTTCATTATTTTTTGATGAGCTTTTATAAAGCTTCTCTATACACCATCCTCTCTACCAAATTGCCTGGTGGAAGGAAGTCTTATGAAACAAACTAAACCCCAAAGAATACCCTCAAGTTGAATAGGCTTTCTAACCTTTTCCTGTTTCTCATTTCACTTTTTCTGAGCCTGTAAAAGGGAGCAGTAGAGAAAGAGCTCGGATTTAATTTGAAGACGAAATTATTTAAGAGTTGAAGAAGATGTATAGAAGGGAAACTAGACTCATTGTGGGTGAAAACTTTATTTGGTGAAAGTCAAGCAAATTTCATTGATTTTTTTTTTTTTTTAATTGAGTTTTTGTTTTGGGCCCCTCAGTCTTAGTAGAACCGTAAGCTAAAAGATGCTACCATCATGTTACTTAAGCAGGTTGCTACTCAGAACAGGAAAATTTGGCAGTCTTGGGATGTCTGGGAAATGGTTGGTGAAAACCATATCAGAAGATTTATTTGCCCCTTTTGTGGGCCAGTGACTTGTCATTATGTTTTAAGCTTGTCACAACAGCCGGAAATGTCAAACGTGTTTCTACAGTAAAGGATTTGGGAATCGTGTACTGTTTTTTTTTTTCCATGGTGCATTTTGGGTTCATTTTTAAGATGTAACAATTCAGCTTTTAGAACACTTGTCATTATAATAGGTTTACTTGATTCAATGTAGATTCAATACATAGGATGAGAATATTTTTTAAAAAACACCTTGGGATTTACTTTTAAGAAAGCTTCAATTGAGAGGAGAAATCAGAAGTTTAACACTTAATGCATGCATAACCATGTATTTTTGTTTTCTTTCATGATGATGTTTAATCTCAACATAATGACTTAGTTTCCCATTGTAAACTCTTCATAGGATGTCACTGATTTTATCAGTCAGTTGTTCATGCAGCTGGGAACTGTGGGAATATATGATTTACCATATCAGAGGAACAAACTGGGTGAGCTCCATTGAAATATTTTTAACTTTCTTATTACAAGCAAGTTTCCTTCTAATGGCTTATGCAGATTAATATATTTATTCATCAGGGAGATGGAGACAAGATTGGAAAGATTATGGTTTCCTTGTAGATTTCTTGCTTGAGCTTGCTTATTTGCTACTTTTTACATGCCTGCACTATTTTGTGTGAGTGCTTTTTTTTTTTAACTTGAGCATGTTCTGTTTGCACATATCAGATTAATTCTTCCAGATATGATAGATATGATGCTTATACCATAAATAGCCATGAACCCAAAAGACCCAGATAAGAAAAGATTGGCTTAAGGGTTGTTCATTTTTTTTCCTAAAAAGACTCATGAGAAACCATGTGAGGCCATGGCATTTTAAGTCTGTCTTCCAGTAGCGAAGGTGGCTCTTCCAGAGAAATTGACATACCTGTCACTCATTCCTGTGAGATAGCGCCTGTCTTTTTAAAAACGGCTCCTTCCCAGAACATAAAATATGGACTGGAACAGGAGGATATTTTTCACTCTTTATATTCCTCACACTCTCAGAAACATATTTAAATCATTGCTCACACTGGATCCATTAACTTAGATGTCCAGAATTTCGATGGAAAAATGTGTGGTTAGAGAGTACAGTTGATAGGGACTTAACCTCACTTTCATTTTAACAACATTCCCCCCTCCCTTTCCTTCCTCCTTTACTTAGCTCTTAAGTACTAGAAGTGAGACACAAAAAATGAAATTGGCTATAGCCTTATCCTTTAACAGCATTTGCCAGACTGTTTACTGGCCCAACAGTGGTCCATGCATCTGCCAGGTAGGATTGCTCATTATGCATAACATTCCATCTGGTCAAGCTTTAGAGATCATTCCAGCAGCCACTAATAGCAGGTCAAAATAAAAATCAGAGCTGTAACTAATAAACTGTTTCTTCTGAGTTCTCTTCTGGTAGTTGAATAAGTGTAGATTGAGTTAAATCATTTCCTTTATTTTAGAACTTCCCAGAATCTTTACTGTACTGTATAGTGAGAGCTTAGGAGAAAGATATAATAGGAAATGCTCCCAAAATAAATTCACCATTTTTTCCTTACAAAAAGCAAGGTATTCTCAGAGTGCAATTTATGCTGTTCTGCCTTAAAACTTGCGCTCTACCTCCTAATGATGGAGACACCTCTACCAGTAGAAAAAGAGGTAGTTCCTTATATTTGCTCTTAAATTGGGTAAATAGCCTTGTACCTGGAATTAGGGATCCAAGGCACACTAAGCCTACATTTAGAATTGGTAGGATATACGTGTTAATGCACCTAGGTTGCTAGATTAGCCTATTTTTAAGTACATTTCAAACTTGTATCAGGTTTCCACAGAGGCAGTTCATTTTAAATGCATCTGCATGCGCTGCTTCTTAGCCTGTGGGCTGCACGGGCGATACGCGTTGCTTTAGCATTCAGCTTTCGAGAATGGCGGCTTTCTGTGAATCTCTTCACTAGCATTAAAAAAAAAATACCAGCCTCTCAAACACTAAGTCTGGTATTTTTTTACTTAAAGAAATGAATATGATTAAGCATTGCTAAGAGACAGTATTAACTCTAGTTTTTATTGTCTTATAGTTATTAAATAGAGCATCTGTTGAGGGGCTCCTTTAAAACCACAGCCCCAAACAGGCTTTGGGGCTGAGAGGCAGAGCAGCACGCGCCACTGGACCCACACCTACCTCTGACAGCTAGCGGAGGCCCCTAGCAGCCACAGACCCTCCTGGAGTCTTTATGGGCATGTAGAATGCAGAGGAGTCCCGGTGACCTACCTCCGAGGCAGCTGCCCTCCTGAACATTTCCGTGGAAAGCAGCCAGCACCGTTTTGGAATGTGAACAGCCAGAGACTACGCAGGAGAAAGAAAAAAAGTACTCTGGAAGTCTTAGGTGGCTTCGCCATTCAGCCTTTGAGTAAAAGGAACAATATACAACATAAGGTTCTTTTCTCTTTTGAACACTCTTCTCTCGAAATGATTTTTCCAAACAGGCTAGGATTGGAGTGTTGTGTTTTCGTTTTGTTCAGAGTGCAAATTTTATTCACAGTTACTGTCTTCCTGAATGCCTGCCTTGTCTTTCCCTGATTACCTTGAGGGACCCCATCATCTATCCTAAGGAGAGAATAAGGCTTCAGGATATCGTGAGATGTGTAGATACGTTATTGGTGGGAAGATGATCCTAAGGAAGAGGCATTTCTGAGATAAGCCAAACTGCTGAAGGGTGTGTTTTCATAGATCAGAGGCCTGCAGTATCCCTGGCAGAAAGATGGAATGATTAATACATTTTGTTTGTTGGGGTTTTATTGTTTTGTTTTGTTTTTTTTTAATTAGGTGCCAGCCCTGTGCTAAGAATTTGAGGTACTTTACATTTCAAAAACCCTATCAAGTAAACAATATGAGCTTCATTTTACAGATAAGGTTAATTAGTCTCAGATACTGGTTAAGCTCACAGTTAAAGTGTTAAATGACAAGGGCTAGTCTTTCAAACCTAGGCATTTCCTTGGGGCTAAAGAACAGTACTAGTACTTGGATCACATTTCCGTAGACTTTCTGGTGGGCCTCAGTCTGTAAACATCATGAATGTTAGTTTAACTGAATATAGTATGCACTACATTGGCTCCTGTTGAGAATTTAGGAGAAGAATTGACTTGAAGCTTAGGTTTCTTTTCCAAATGAGTCTACTCACTTTCTTTCCCAACCCAGGGTCCTGTCATTCAAGACCAAAAACTACTTTCTTCTTTTCTTTGTAGTCCCCCAGATGGGAAGGAGGGCTTTGTAATCTTCAGATTAAGCACAATTTAAAAACCTTTGCCAAATTCACTTATCTTAATACCCCATTGTTCACACCTTATCATTATCATTTAGTCTTTTCCTGCTGAACAATAGGGTAGTTTCCTCCTCAGTGTTGAGAGCTGATCAGTATCAGCCTTAGTAAAGGAAAATGTGGGGCTACACCTAACTCATATTGTGTGGGAGGACTTCCCTCCTCTTCTCTGCTTGAATGGAGACACTCTAGAGAGCCGGTTGCCATGATTACATTATGAGTTCAGATAACTTCTTACACCGTCTGAGGGGTACTGCTCTGCAGTTCTGGGAAGGATCTGTCTTGCCAAGGTGAAGTAACAGTATAACCGACTACTGCCTGGATCTTTTCTTCCATCCTCCCTCTGGACCTGATCCTTCTACTTCACTCAGGACCTTCATGCCATCTCTGAAGCCCTCCGCAGCTCTCTCCGTGAGAGGGAGAAACACCATTGTGTCCGTCCTTGCGCTTTGCGGGTACCTCCGCTCAGGTAGTAGTTACCCTGCTGTAATGGGATGATTTGATAGCATGTCGGCATCTTTTTCCAGACTGAAAATCCTCTCAATTTCCCTGTTTATCTTAAGCACCTAATGCACGTAGAAATGTATAGGTGCTTGGAAGACACTTCTCTTGTCTTTTCAAAGATTTTTTACAGGTAATACCAGCTTACAAATATTTAATTCTGTAGGGTTAGAGAAGCACAAATCAGGAACGGTACTATGTTTATGTTTTCGGTTCTCTGCTCTAAACTATATCAGGGTACCTGCCTCCAGAGTCCTGAGAGAGCTGTATGTTTTCAGGATGCAAATACGGACAAAGCAACCAATATGTATAAAAATGTATTGTGGAATTTAAAAGCACCTCTACCAAAGTGATTGTTTCTCTGTGAGTAGCTTTGCCTCTAAATGTTTGTTTTGATTATGGAAAAAGAGGTGTGGTGGGTACACAATTGCAAATATATGTGTTAGAAGCCATGTGATATCATACTGCTTAGCGTTCTCTGTTGTGGTTGCCGGCTTGTCCGGTCCTCGTCCTCTGGTCTTCACACTCCATGACGGCAGGCATCAGCTCTGTATTACTGACCACAATATGTGACAAATAATAGGGCTTCAATAAATATTTTTAAAAGGAAGAGAATGGAATAATATATCGCTGTGTTGTCCTGTTGTTTTATTGATATGTTTCTGGAATTGTTGTTACCTCTGAGTCCTCAGAGCCTATGGTGGAACCTCGAGACTTATCTGTAGGAGACTTTGCACAAAACAGATGAGGCTTTTAAATTTTATTCTGTTTGTTTATTTACATTTTAATTTTCATGTGAGACAATAGAGGCCAAGGTAGGACTCAGAGTTACAAAGAGTAAACATTCAGAATTACTGAAAACTAAATTAGCTGTCAGGGAAAATAGCTTTATGACTATAGTGGTGCCTCAAATCCTGAAGAATCAACTAACCTGGGTTTCTGTAGGTCTGCTTTGTTCCTATGACTCTCAGCAAGAAGCACCAGCCAAATGAATGCTAAGGTTTCTCCCAGCCTCACAGTTTTGAGCTTATGAGCAGGGGATATAAAGTACAATGTAAGGAATATAGTCAATGATACTGTAATAACTATGTGTGGTGTCAGCTGGGTAGTAGGCTTGTTGAGGTGATCACTGTGCAAGTTATATAAATGTCTAAGTTGTACACCTGAAATTAATATAATGCTGTATGTCAACTGTAATTGAAAATTACATTTAAAATAAAAAGAGTTTATGAGCCAAGTAAATGATGAATGAGCCAAGGGATTTTGGCTACTTTGTTGAGTGGTAAATTGCTGTGTGTTCTTTTAAACTAATTCTAGAACATATATTTTGGTTCTGACTGTCTTCTCAGCACTGGAAATAAATAAATCTCTTACCCTTCAGTTTTACATGTAAATCTAGCTTCCAATTCCTTCAGTAAAATGCTGGAAGTCATTTGGTTGCAACACTATGACAGTTTCCTACTTCATTAAAATTCAACTTTAAAAAAAATGGGCAAGTCTATTTAGTAAGAAAACTAGAGCAAGTCCTTAAAAATAACATAAGAAAGTTTATTTCCTTCTGAAGAAAGATGTGGTCCTCTTACCCGGCTGGAATGGCCAGATTGGTTGAGTGTTGTCCTGTGCACCAAAAGGTTGCCATTTCAATT